TGTTTATATATAGTTTTTTGACACCTTTATTATACCCCTCCCGAATGATGAATGTATGTTGCCTACTATTTTATTATATGTTTGTATCTTAATGTCTTAATGTCTGTATTCCCCCTTCCCGGTTTTGTGTGAGCCGCCCTGAGTCCCCTCAGGGAAAAGGGCGGCCTACAAATACTAATAAAACTATCAAAAAACTATATATAAACAACTCAACATGGCAAACCTACTTTCTACAGATCCACGCTGGCTTTATTTCTCCCAGCAAAGCAGTTTCCCTCAACTCCATAAAATGAACTTACTGAACTGGGCCAGAAAATGGAAGCTCAGATCAGATGCAGGCTAAAATATATGAAGAACAGTTACAAGAACTGGGCATGACTAGTCTAGTGAAGAGAAGGACTAGTGGTGACTATCAGTCTTCCAATATTTGCGGGGCTGCCACAGAGAGTAGGGAAGCAAACCTGTTTTCCAAAGCACTGAAAGGTCAGACAAGGAACAATGGATGGAAACTGATCAGGGGAAGATTCAAAGTAGAAACAAGGATAAATTTTCTACAGTGAGAATAATCAACCAATGGAACAGCTTGCCTTAAGTAGTTGTGGTTGCTTCATCACTGGAGACTTTAAAGAAGAGACTCAATTGCCATTTGTTAGAAATGGTATAAAGTCTGCTGCATGAGTCCGTCCTGTTGCTCCCCCACCCACCCCCGCCCCAAGGAGAACTACAATGCGGATCCAGCCCTTGAAGAAATCCATTTTGATATCACGGGTATAGGGTATGCTGTTTGAGTAGGGGGTAGGACTAGATGACATACAAAGTCCCTTCCATCTCATCTCATTATCTCATATTCCTCACTGATACTAAGATAAGTTTCACTAAAGAGAATCATGCAAGTAATTAAATGTTTAATTGTTCAGCTCGGTTTCCAATGAGAGAGAACAAACAAAATTCAACATTCCTCTACACACATCAAATGTTGCTTCATGTGAAATTTCTTGTGTGATAAGGGAGGAACTTTGTGTGAAACACTGTGTGCAATCTAGGGTTACTCCCCTATGTGTAACCTTACATGATTTATAAGACTAGTCCTATAACGGAAATCTTTCCCACAATCTGGACATTCATACGGTTTCTCTCCTGTGTGAGTCCTCCAGTGTATCACCAAACTGGAATTCCAACTAAAACTTTTCCCACATTCAAGACACTCATACGGTTTCTCTCCTGTGTGAGTCCTCTGATGTTTCACCAAGTAGGAATTGTAACAGAAACCTTTCCCACAAATTGGACACTGATAGGGTTTGTCTCCTGTGTGAGTTTTCTGGTGTATCACCAGATAGAAATTCTGACTGAAACTTTTCCCACAATCTGGACACTGATATGGTTTTTCTCCTGTGTGCGTTTTCTGGTGTATTGCCAGGTGGGAATTCTGATTGAAACGTTTTCCACAATAGAGACACTCGTATGGTTTCTCTCCCGTGTGAGTTCTCTGGTGTCTCAACAGCTTGGAGTTCCAAGTGAATTTTTTTCCACATTCAAGACACGGATACCTTTTTTTTCCAGTGTGAGTCCTCTGGTGTTCCTTCAGGTAGGAATTCTTACTAAAACTTTTCCCACAATCTGAACACTCATACGGTTTCTCTCCTGTGTGAGTCCTCTGGTGTATCACCATGTTAAAATTCTGACTAAAACTTTTCCCACAATCTGGACACTTATATGGTTTCTCTCCTGTGTGAGTCCTGTAATGTCGCAAAAGGAAGGCATTTTGAATGAAACTTTTCCCACACTGCAGACACTCATACAGTTTTTCACCTGTGTGAATTCTTTGGTGTATTAGCATATGAGAATTAGAGTCGAAACATTTTCCACAATCTGAACACTCATATGGTTTCTCTCCTATGTGAATGCTCTGGTGTTTCACCAGGTCAGATTTCCAAGAGAAATCTTTCCCACACACCGGACACTCATACGGTTTCTCTCCAGTGTGAGTCCTCTGATGGTTCACCAGGCCAGAATTACAACTGAAACCTTTCCCACAATGACATTTATACGGTTTTTCACCTGTGTGAATTCTTTGGTGTATCACCAGATCAGAATTAGATTTGAAACTTTTTCCACAATCTGAACACTCATAAGGTTTCTCTCCTGTATGAGTCTTCTGATGTTTCACCAGGTCAGAATTACAACTGAAACCTTTCCCACAATCTGAACACTTATACAGTTTCTCTCCCATGTGAGTCCTCTGGTGTTTCACCAGGTAGGAATTCTGACTGAAACTTTTCCCACAATGACATTTATATGGCTTCTCTCCTGTGTGAGTCCTCTGGTGTTTCACCAGGTCAGAATTACAACTGAAACCTTTCCCACAATCTGAACACTTATACAGTTTCTCTCCCATGTGAGTCCTCTGGTGTTTCACCAGGTAGGAATTCTGACTGAAACTTTTCCCACAATGACATTTATATGGCTTCTCTCCTGTGTGAGTCCTCTGGTGTTTCACCAGGTCAGAATTACAACTGAAACCTTTCCCACAATCTGAACACTCATACGGTTTCTCTTGGGTGTGAGTCCTCTGGTGCAACACCATGTCAAAACTCTGACTGAAACTCTTCCCACAATCTGGACACTTATATGGTTTCTCTCCTGTGTGAGTCCTGTGATGTCGCAAAAGGAGGGAATTTTGAATGAATCCTTTTCCACACTGCAGACACTCATATGGTTTCTCTCCTGTGTGAATCCTTTGATGTATCACCAGATGAGAATTCGACTTGAAACCTTTTCCACAATATAAACACTCATATGGTTTCTCTCCT